AATGGCGCTATTGACAGTGTGTCAGTAGGTGGTATTGGCGCTATTGACAGTGTGTCAGTAGGTAGTAATGGCGCTATTGACAGTGTGTCAGTAGGTGGTATTGGCGCTATTGACAGTGTGTCAGTAGGTAGTAATGGCGCTATTGATCGTGTGTCAGTAGGTAGTATTGGTGCTATTGACAGTGTTTCAGTAGGTAGTATTGGCGCTATTGACCGTGTGTCAGTAGGTTGTATTGGTGCTATTGACAGCGTGTCAGTAGGTAGTATTGGCGTTATTGAAAGTGTGTCAGTAGGTAGTATTGGTGCTATTGACCTTGTGTCAGTAGGTAGTATTGGTACTATTGACAGTGTGTCAGTAGGTAGTATTGGTACTATTACCAGTGTGTCAGTAGGTAGTATTGGACAGTGTGTCAGTAGGTAGTATTGGCGCTATTGACCGTGTGTCAGTAGGTAGTATTAGTGCTATTGACCGTGTGTCAGTATGTAGTATTGGTACTATTGACAGTGTGTCAGTAGGTAGTATTGGTGCTATTGACAGTGTGTCAGTAGGTAGTATTGTTACTATTGACAGTGTGTCAGTAGGTAGTATTGGTACTATTGACAGTGTGTCAGTAGGTAGTATTGGTGCTATTGACAGTGTGTCAGTAGGTAGTATTGGTACTATTGACAGTGTGTCAGTAGGTAGTATTGGTGCTATTGACCATGTGTCAGTAGGTAGTATTGGTGCTATTGACCATGTGTCAGTAGGTAGTATTGTTACTATTGACAGTGTGTCTGTAGGTAGTATTGGTACTATTGACAGTGTGTCAGTAGGTAGTATTGGTGCTATTGACAGTGTGTCAGTAGGTAGTATTGGTACTATTGACAGTGTGTCAGTAGGTAGTATTGGTGCTATTGACCATGTGTCAGTAGGTAGTATTGGTACTATTGACCATGTGTCAGTAGGTAGTATTGGCGCTATTGACCGTGTGTCAGTAGGTAGTATTGGTACTATTGACCGTGTGTCAGTAGGTAGTATTGGTACTATTGACAGTGTGTCAGTAGGTAGTATTGGTACTATTGACCGTGTGTCAGTAGGTAGTATTTGATGACAAACATGTGACATGCAAAAAACTAGAATTCTAAAATAAACTGTAAAAAAATAAAAATTTGAAAGTTCATTTTACGTAAAAATAATTGTTTGAAAAACGTTTGACGTTACCACTGGGTATTTCTATATATTGACCATTTCTGACAAGTTGTAATGTTTTCCCCATTTTCAACATGGTTAACATTTACAATTTATTATTTATTCATTGTTCATCCAGACAAGCTACATATGTTTTGATGGACAATCTCATATGTATCTGTGATTATTGAGCAAAAGTAAAGAGCGTTATTCCAATTAGTATTACTCTCCTGGAAAGTGTCACAGCAGTAAGGCAACATACACAAAGTCTACACTTAAGACTTAAGTCACATTTATAGATAATTCATAGGAAATTTAAAATAACAAGTTGTGAATACCTATGTTATAAAGCAGCAAGACAGATACGGTCGCATTAGTATGGTAGCATACACCCTTAAGTCTATCGTAAGTCATTGGTGTTGCAATCAAAGTGTCAATCTAGCCACTGATTTACATGAAGGTAGAAAATGAAAAATGGAATATTTCAACAATTACAAAAATAGTATATAGATATAGATAATTTATAGGTAATTTAAAATAAAAAAGTTGTGAATCTCTATGTTAAAATTCAGCAAGACAGATACGATTAATTGCTTTTTGTATCACAATAAAACGGAGAAGAAATTATAAATCAAACGGTTTAACCTTGAGGACATACTACCGAGCGCTTTTCTCCGTGATCAAACATTGTTGGCTCATCCATAACACTTGATATTCAAATGTCAACTTATTCCGCTATTCCGCTCTGAGCATGACAGCCTGGCCAGGCCTGACATTTAACACGGGCTTAACATGTGTAGGAGAGACTTTTACCCTGTTGAAGCTTGCAATATAAAATCATACATTTTTACAGTCGATTTTAGTGTGTTATAGATGTTTTTTCATTTTTTTCATTTTTTTTCACTATCGTTTTATTTTACAAAAAGGATTGTTTTGCTATCTCTGCACAGAATTTTCCTAAGGCCGTTGAACATTGTCATTGTATACAATATTCCGATTCTGTCGGTGGCACGTCCCAACAGTATACAGTGGTAACAAACTTTCCGTCCATCTACATAAATGTGAACATCGCATTATGTGTTAACATCAATATGTCCTTTGTTTTTTAACAAACAGTTCTCCTGAGTGCAGCACGGACGAGGCACCGAAGGGGAAAACGTCTTTAATCAAACATACACGGTGACAGGTAATGTCGGAGACGGTTTAGATGTCGTAAAGTTCAAGAGGTCATGTATTGTAAACATTACGATAACATAATAGATACAGGAATTGCGAACGCTTTGTTAGTTTAAACCTATTTTATTGCCAAGTGTAAGAGCAAAAGGATTAGACACAAGTTATGTCAACTTACGAGGTCTTCTCCTTATAAATAAATGTACATTACGAAAACAATTTGTTTGTGCTGGTTCTATCGCCACGCTAGTGTCATTTTGAGGCGGGGTCTCCTTTGTAAAGTTAGTGGCATACTCATTGTACAACATACGGGAGGTCCGTCGCGTGTTATCAACAGTAATAAGGGTAGGGTGTCTTGCCCAAAGACACGTCCACTTCAGCGCAGAATGATCCGTTTTGCAGTTTCCTTAGAAACACAAACCGTTGTGTTGGGACTAAGATGAATAGCTCATCTTTAATCAAGGTAACTTGAGGTTACGTAACGTAGGTAAACGCTCGTATCGACTGAGCTACCACGACAGTCAGAAGGAAGTAGTAATGAGGAAGAAAGGAAATCGTACTCATTGGACGATGAACATACAGAAAAAGTTTGTTTTTGATAGATCAATTAGTTTTACTAAAAAATAAAACAAAAAGGATGGATTTTCGCTATTAATTCTAAACTTTAATGAATGTATTTTCTCTGTTATTTTTTAACTTTAATGCATGTATTTTCTATATTCATTTTTAATTTTAATTTATGCATTTTTTCTATTAATTTTAAAATTAAATGTTCATATTTTCGCAATCTTGTTCTATTCTCAGAATGACCGAAAATTGGATACATTTGAAAAAAAGAACAGCTCTATTGCCCATGGCCTGCTTCAGTGTTATGTCTTTCCTTGTGTATACATGTAAAGTCACGAGTGCGACGTGACCTATCTTACAGGTAAACACACACACATAATTTGTTTACATATCACGATTGCTAATCGTACAATGATAAAATTCGTAACATGTGTCACGGGGACATTAGAATGTAGACACACACTTCGTTCATTGGTACATATATAACACACACATTTCGTCAACGGCGTATTGTAATTCGAAAGTTACGTTTACCAAAGGGGTATGAAACTGAAGACACCTATAATATTTTTAGTTATAGGGTTAGCATGTTTCCCAATCCATACTTCGATCTGTATATCAAACAAGTTTGATCTTTGCCAGATAGCAGTCACCTTGACGGTTTCAATGCTTCAGGTCTTTAGCATCACTGGAAAGTCCTAGAAGGACGAAATTTCGAAGCGTATTCCGGCCGCCTTTTAATCTTGAAATTTCAAATTACTATCTTTAAATTTAGGGATATTATCGCACAATTTCGGATTACTTTCTTGAAATTTTAAGCTAACTCAAAACTTCGGGTTATTTTCTCGAAGTTTCGACTTGTCATCTCGAAATTTCTTATGAATTTGAGCTATTTGCTTGAAATTTAGACCCCCTAATCGAAATTTCGATTTACTTTATTTCGAAAAATTTCAGTAAAATATGTAACGAGGCCCCACCTTAACCCTAACCCATGCGAGTTTAATCCATTATCTGAATTCATTGTATTTAAAGACGAGAAAGTGGAACAACTGAATGGCGTGTCTTAATTACTAGGTCCCTGTGTGTTACGCTTATGGTATCACTCAATGTATCAGGATGTTTGCTGAGACACAATATACAACTAAAGCAGCTGACTCTTTTCATACATGTGATTGTTTGCTTTTTATTATCACTAAGTGTCATACACTATCAAGGACAAAAGGACACGACAGTCTCCGGCCTGCGCTGACATAAAGCACCTAATTCCCGCTATCAATTTACGATATCTGTCTCCCGCGATCAGTTTACAATATCTGTCTCCCTCGATCAGTTTACAATATCTATTTCCCTCGATCAGTTTACAATATCTGTCTCCTTCGATCAGTTTACAATATCTGTCTCCCTCGATCAGTTTACAATATCTATTTCCCTCGATCAGTTTACAATATCTATTTCCCTCGATCATTTTACAATATCTGTTTCCCGCGATCAGTTTACAATATCTATTTCCCTCGATCAGTTTACGATATCTGTCTCCCTCGATCAATTTACGATATCTGTCTCCCTCGATCAATTTACGATATCTGTCTCCCTCGATCACTTTACAATATCTGTTTCCCTCGATCAATTTACAATATCTGTCTCCCTCGATCACTTTACAATATCTGTTTCCCTCGATCAATTTACGATATCTGTCTCCCTCGATCAATTTACAATATCTGTTTCCCTCGATCAATTTACAATATCTGTCTCCCTCGATCAATTTACGATATCTGTCTCCCTCGATCAGTTTACAATATCTGTTTCCCTCGATCAATTTACAATATCTGTCTCCCCCCATCGATGACAAAAGCAGTTTTCACCCCTCCCCTCCGCCTTTTTTAAAACAACATCTACAGTAAGACATTGCATGTTTACACAGAGGGCTACTCCGTCGGCCGGATGATCTAGATTAACTTATTATGTACATACTTTTATCAGAGAAGATTGTTGCTATCTCATGATCTGCTTACACAATAATCTAACTACATGCGATCCAGTTTGCCACCTCATCCGCCCGGGAAAGCATCTGTGCAAATTTTGGACGCTCTGTCAGTAAAACCACCATGAGTCGATCTTTCCCTCGAATCAAAGCTGTCCGAGCGTATATATCGGAAGCTAAATCCGGAGACCAGGGAGCAGACTGTCATGATGTTGATGACAAACACTGGATCAATGGCTATCCCTTACCAGTGGCGAACCCAATGTCAGTTTATCCACAATACGCACCATTTAGAAAGTCTTGGGGCATCAACGCCCTTGGAACGATGGTTGTCGAAGTAGAGGCCGATAACGGCGAGTGCGGGGTCGGAATCACCATCGGAGGAGAACCAGGATGTTACATTGTGGAGAAGCACCTAAGTCGATTTGTTGAAGGTCAGGATCCGAGAAATGTGGAGTTGATGTGGGACCAGATGTTCCGTGCCACTCTGAATTACGGCAGGAAAGGACTACCAATTCAGGCTATCAGTGCTGTGGACCTGGCTCTGTGGGATTTACTCGGTAAACTCCGAGGGGAACCTGTGTATGCCTTGCTTGGAGGGAAAGTGAAGGAACGACTTCCGGTTTACTGTACGACTGCTCGTCCCGACATCGCTAAGGAGTTGGGATTTGTCGCATCGAAAATCCCTTGTCCTTATGGTCCAACTGCGGGAGAGGAAGGCTTCAAGAAAAATGTGGAGTTTTTCAAAGGATGGCGCGAAAAGGTTGGTCCTGACTTTCCGCTAATGCTTGATTGTTATATGGCCTTGACCCCAACATATACTGTAAGATTAGCGAAGGAACTGGAACCTCACGGGCTCAAGTGGATCGAGGAGTTCCTTCCACCAGACGATTATCAGGGATATGAAGACGTTCGAAAAGCCATGATGGGATCGAAAGTCCTACTCACTACTGGAGAACATGAATACAGTCGCCACGGATACCAGCTACTTTTGAATTCCCGTTGTGTGGACATTTTACAGCCAGATATCAGTTGGCTTGGTGGGATCACCGAGGCTCGTCGTGTAGTGGCTATGGCGTCTGCCCACAACACCATGGTCATACCACACGGCTCTAGCATCTACTCCTATCATCTTCAAATCGCCTTCTGTAACTGCCCTATAGCAGAATTTATTAATCTAAGCCCCGGTGGCGACAAAATCGTGCCGTATTTTGGAGGGTTATTTCCAGACGAGCCACTTCCGGCTAACGGTTTCATTGACATTCCAGACAAACCCGGATTCGGTGTGACTTTGTGTAAGGATACACTACGGAGGCCTTACCAAAGGAGTGAGGACGAAAGTCGTAAACAGGCAGAACTGAACATTAACTTTAAACCTACCGAGAAAGCGTTTATGCCTTTCTAGTTCTGATCTCAGTGACCTACCTAGCGTATGTAGAGGACTTTTATCAGTAGAAGTGTTGTGTGAAGTGTCGACCAAGAACAATGCTCTAATGTTTCAAAAAAGTGTGTATGAAAAAAAACCACATGAGTCCCATTTCAAAACTTAGTTTAGACATTGTCAAACGGAGAATGCTACATTTGTTATGGTCGTCTTTGTTGTTACATCAGTCTCTAAATACAATTATAGCTTGCATGAAAATTTATTATCATAATAAATATTTTATGAAAATTAAAATCGTATCAATTTTTTTAACAATAAAACCTGGAACCTAATGAAAAATATCTCCCTCTTTGGAAATATATACAAAGAAATGTCACGTTCTGGCATATTTCTTGAAATATGACCCTTGGACTTCATCAATGTATACATACCTGGTCAGTTTTCGAAGGTTATCATGTTGTACCATCAACGTTTAATTTCTTTCGGTTTTCATTCACGTTAAAACGACACTAGTTTGCCAAGCTACAGGTAAGAAAAGATTCTTTCACCTTCTGGAAAAAAACAACACACACACACACACACAAACGCACGCACGCACACGCACGCACACACGCATGCACGCACACACACACGTACGCACACACAAACACACACACACTCACACACACAAACACACGCACGCACGTACACACACACACAAAACAAACAAATAATTGATTCCGATATACTGACAGCACACAAATATATACAGTGTAACACAAAAATATATAGGTGTAAGATTGATTCAGATATACTGACAGCACACAAATATATACAGTATAACACAAAAATATATAAGTGTAAGATTGATTCAGATATACTGACAGCACACAAATATATTCAATGTAACACAAATATATACAGTGCAAGATTGATTCAGATATACTGACAGCACACAAATATATATACAATGTAACACAAATATATATAGGTGTAAGATTGATTCAGATATACTGACAGCACACAATATGTACAGTTATATTTATTGATCTCTGACACATTCTAGAGCTATGGATAATTACACAGAGTGTTACCAAGCAATCTATATCCGATATATCACAGAAAGGGAGAGCTGGGCGTGTCACATGCCAGCTGCTATAGCTAATTCGTCATACATGTCCAAGTCCCGGGCCTCGAGATAGCTCACAGGAGTTAGTAAGAACATCTGATCATGTGTCACTTTAGTGGAAGGAAAATTATATCATTGGGACTCTAGTATACGCAGCAGCCAAACGGAGGCTGAGAAACATTTAACGTGCAATTCTCTACAATCTAGCTTTCCAGGCGATACCTTAAACAATTTAGCGAGATGTTTACGTTCAAATGATGATACTAGTTAGTTGATTTTAAGTGAAATGTTTCAGAACGGCAAAAGAAACAGTCTAATCGGTTTAGATATCAATATAATTTCGAAAATCCTATTTCTTTAATTTCCGTAAATCACCTAATCTCCCTTTTGTATCATAGATTCTTGAGGTTTCTGTCAATAGTTCTCTAATGTGTATAGGATAGCGCAAAACATTGTTAATTTGTTGACCTTTCTGAAGAAAATGCTCCCACTATTGGACTTTTTTTTTCAAAACATACACCTATATACTTACACTGTTTCAGAGAACAACCAAAAAGTAGAATACGAGATCCACAGTTATATATGTATCAAATTATAGACGTAATTAGAGTACGTGACAAAGACAGACACATTGATTTAATAGTTTCTTCACACGAACTATTATCAGTTAATCAATCATTTACCAGCCCTCAGAATTCTTCACATTTCTACTAATCCCAATAAACCCGCCTATCGCTGAAACGAAATTTGCATTTATAGGTGCTCAGAGAGATGTGTTTTTACAGTCATAATGTGTCTGGAAAGAACATAACCTCAGTGATTGAAAACCTATGTAGGTAATGTCGCTTCAAAAATACCTATTTTCAAGGTTACTGTACCATACATCAGGATTTTGTTAGTAAGAAGTTACCATGTGATGAGATATAAACCATGTCCCCTAATTGTAAATAGTCACACAAATTTGTAAAAAAAAATATATATATATATATATATATGACAGAAAACACATTTTCCTTTATTAAAAAAACAATATACTGTACGTATATTGAAATCCGGGGAGTACGTAACTAAAGGGATATAACTCAATCTTACCGTAAGAAACATGAAAGAGTTTTTCCCTCTCTCACTCTCTCAACATATATATATATATTTGATTGAATCGCGTTTGAAATTAAATCCTGAAATGGTATCAGTTCTTGATTGGCACACTGTTAATAATTGCTGATGGAAAACTGGAAAAGTTTCCTTCTGATCCAAAATGTTAAAGTGAGTTAGTGTACTTTCTGTTTTGCAATATTTTATTCGCATGACAAGTCAGGAAGACGCTTGAAATATAGCATAAGCTACACGTTTATCAAAAGCACCTAAATCACTCTAAATACCATCGGCTGCTTCTCCATCACATGATCACAACAACGCCGACAACACAGTAAGCAATCTTCTGTCAACAAAGCGGAGACAACGAAGCTGGGAATTATAATATACCCACGAGTATGTCTTTTATCTTCAATGTTGTATTTCTTTACGAATTGCCAGCAAAGTATTGCCATTATGTTACTGCACGTGAGTCTGTTTGTCATCCACTGACCCTTGTGAGACGGCATAGATGTTTTCTCAGTAAATGTTGCACTGTTAAAAAGTATTAGTTATCTTCCAACATTTAAATGGTCAATTAAATAGAAAGAAAGAAACAAAAACAATTGAAAAGAAACAAAACCACATCTCGCGTAGGCTGATTTTTAAACTCGGGCATTTGAATGTAATAAAACTGACAATTGTTAATTTGTACTTCATATTTGCACTAACGCGTCAACATTGGCAAAAGGAAAACAATATATCAAAGAAATCAGGTTTTTACCCACTGGGTTTGGATGGTGCATTTTTGCCTCATTTTGGGAAGAAAGTTTGTGAATAAGGATTAAATTTTCAGGAGGAAATTGCAAATTTTGGCTTAAATAATATTGTAATGACCATATGGGTCCATTAGGATAGCCTGGTAAGTCCACAGATACCTGTACGTGTTTATACCTTTGATTCTAAACAATTCAGTTGCTCAATACAGACTTGAAAAATATTCTGTGTTCTTAGTCGAAGGGTTCTGGCTATTTATCTGAGATTTTATTTTGTCTTGGTTGGTTTTCAGACTTTGTTGTTCTATGTGTACGATCTATTTATGGGGGGTCGGTGACCAAAACGACTTTGATCCAGATCACAATTTCTTAAAAGGTGCACATATATACAATATACACTGTAGACTACATAAGATTGTTTAGCATTTGATTGTGGAAATTTACTTAGTTGTATTGGCTGGCAATACACAAGCAACACAATTAAAATGGTAGTAAGCCTGACTGGATTTGAATCAGAATCAGGAAAGTAATAAATAGAACTTCAATCTGATTTAAAGCTGACACTGTTGAATATTTTTCCAGACACAGATATGATTCTCCCACTTGCTGTTCTTGTCATCATTGGTACAGTCAGTGGACTGGACAATGGCCTTGCCAGAACTCCGCCCATGGGATGGATGTCTTGGCAGAGATTTCGTTGTATAATAGATTGTGAAAATCAACCAAAAGATTGTATCAGGTGAGAAATAGATCAGCTTATCATAAAAAAAGTTGAGTTTTAATTGCAAACATACTAACAGCACAAAAAACTTCAAAAAATATTTTTCTTTTTTTTCTACATCTGAATATTAGTAGAAAGGCCAAGAGAAAATTTACTTGATATGTTGTCATTTTGAAGATACTGAGGATTCCTAAAATGTAAAGGAAAAAGCTGTACCTTCAATTTGTATCTACACAGTGAACGATTGTTTATGGATATGGCTGACAGACTGGTAGATGATGGTTATGCTGCTGTGGGGTACAAGTATGTCAACATAGATGACTGCTGGAGTTCAAAAGAACGAGATGGTGAAGGCCGTCTCCAGGCTGACCCAAAACGATTTCCAAATGGAATGAAAACCCTTGCTGATTATGTAAGATTCTTTGTTATCAGAGAACAGCTGTATAAATACTTCTCACATTATCACAATCAACTAGATTTTAGATCCAACAAATTATTCCACTCTGTTAGTTATGTCTATCATATATAGAAACGTTTCATACACTGGGGTAACCGTGCCTTGACAGAAATTGAAGCTAGGTCCCTGGTGTGATAATTTACAGCTTTACAAACTAAGCCAAAGAATCCTGCTGTGTGAGCTGAGTGACAGATGGATGTCTGAACAGTTGTTGAACTCTCATTAATCAGTCATTACTGAAAACAAGATAGTAAATCTTCATCATGTTGATTAATTATGGAAAAATGATCATCACCATGCATAAAATTTCTTATTATCTATACAAGTACATGAAAAATGTGATTTTGTTTTTTCCTTCAGTAGATTGTTGTTGTTTAAATCTTTAGTAAAACTGGTTGTTGTGGATATATTTTTGTTGAATTTTTCTGTACATGAAATGACCCAACAGGAATTATATTTCTTGTACTGATGGATTTTGTGAGCAGGATTTTTCCAACAAAGATGCACATATAAAAACAGAACAAAACAAAAAAATTGGAATAAAATGGAAATATATGATTGAACAGTTGTCTCCACTTTTTTCAGGCTGTTACTGACAAAGATGAACTAAGAGACCTGATTTGTATTTGAAATGGTTCCTGCATATTTACATATCATTTTGGTATAAACTAAAATTTCAATATGTGTGGTAGAAAATGTTTTATACTTTGATGTGAATTTATTTTGGATTTAGGTTCACAATAAAAGTTTGAAGTTAGGGATCTATGGGGACTTTGGGACATACACATGTGGAGGTTATCCAGGCAGTAAGTTTTACATGCAGTCGGATGCTCAGACATTTGCCTCATGGGGCATAGACAGTCTCAAACTGGATGGTTGTTACACTGGCACAGGTGATATTCCTATAGGTAAGTCTTATCATGTAGCTTCTTTTGTCTATAGATAAGTGGGGATTGATTCCTAATGCGAAGGGGACGTTCCTTCCCATTCTAAATGAAAAACAGCTGGCATTCAACCCCATTCCTAATACAAAACAGACATTCAACCCCATTCTTACTGCAGAACAGACATTTAACCCCATTTCCAATGTAAAACAGGCATTCAAACAAATTCCCAATGAAAAACATACTTTCAACCCCATTCCCAATGAAAACCAGACATTCAACCCAATACCTTCCGCAAAACGGACATTCTACCCCATTTCCAATGAAAAATGTACATTTAACCCTATTCCTAATGCAGAACAAACATTCCTGTTCCCAAAATGGAATTCGATTTTTAAATGTACCTGTATACAAATCAAAAGTTGAATGATTGGGTATTACATGGGGTCAATACATGACCTTTGACTGGTATGTTTAGGGCATTGGTTAAAAGCGAGACTGGTAATTATGCTGGAAAGCCATCAGTATGAGTGGGGTTAATACCAGGCATGGTCTACAGGTTGAATGAATATGGCATTGGAACTATATTGTATTGCTTCGACAGGAATACATTGTATGTTAGTAGACAAAATATGAAGTCACAATAAGTTGGCCATTCCCAGCAACACGGAGATACAGACTACAGACTGATAAATTTATCTTCAGAACCGTTATCCTGAGATTTGCCTGCTGTTCCTTAACAAATTTTATTGACTAAAAATGAAATACAAATTTAGTCAACAGGATCGAACGAAAGGTGGAGCCTATTATAAGAGATGTCTTAAGTGAAGAAGATCATATGTAAAGGGAGATATCTTGTACAAAAACATACATCCTTTTACACACTACACACAAACATTTTCACATACTACTATTATTAGATCATTAGAATATATTATATAAACTACCATCATAATACCACATAGTTATAGGTAGACATTGACCATTAAATATTCTATCAGAACATTTTCAGGCTAACAGAATGTTTACTACACAGGTTACCCGATTATGGAGGAGTTCCTAAATTCGACGGGGAGACCTATTCTTTATTCCTGTAGCTGGCCTGCATATCTACAAAAAGTATGTATTTTAAAAAGGGAAGAGCAGAGAGCTAAATAACAGAGAAACAAGTTTCTCTTTCTTAGCCTTATCATTGGTCACACATGTCTGGATGTCTTATGGTAAATATATGATGTTGTGTGTACCCATGTGTAGCATGATATGCCTGAAGGATTTCTTAACATTGCCAATAGCTGCATTATACATATATAACTCTAGTACATGTTAAAGTAAGGTATACAGGTTTCCTAGCAAAAGGTTATTTCAAGGTAAAATTTTAAAATTCAGACTTCATATCAAAGGAATTTTAGATCTTTAAAAAATGATGAAATTGAAACAGTCATGTCATCCTCTTTTTTGACATATAACAGACATTATCATTATAGAATATAAAAAAGTATAAACATTACAAAATCTTTAACTATTTCCATTGAGTTTATAATCCAATATTTAATTCATTCAAAAACATTGAACATTGGAATACTTCAAATTGGAAAAGTTTCATTTTGAAGATGTGTTATCCTTTTATTTTGGTATCCTTCATCTGTTCTTTTTCTAATCTGTCAATACTGCAAAGGAAATCCACAAATACATTCTGTTGTTTTATTTTGAAAATCTTTTCCCTCGAATATATCCCATCAGCAAATTTGCTAAAAGATAGTGATGCTACTGAGAGTTTGTTCCATAATGAGATTTTATGTTTCTTTTGATCTTAATGACTCTGCATTAATTATAACTAATATGCAATATTTCCTTTGTTTATGCTGATAATTTAGAGACACTGATCTTAATATCTAATAGCGGTTCACCAGACTAATAGTTTTGCATTGATAAGATATAAGAAAAAGATCTTGTTATCATGGAGTATTGTCTGTTTGCAGCCAAACTATCAGAATATAGCTGCAAGTTGTAATATATGGCGAAATTATGGTGACATCCAAGACTCTTGGGACAGTGTAGTATCAATTATCAACTTCTACGGAAAAGATTCTGGAAACTTCAGCAGTGTGGCAGGACCTGGAAATTTTAATGATCCTGACATGGTAGGATACAGAAAAAATACTTATAAAATTATTGTTGATTTCAATAAAGCAAACTTCAGTAAGTTAGGATATTACATGGACTTGTGGCCAATTCATAAAACCACTGCTAAATGATTCAAATTCTGTCTTCAAACTCTTCTTAAAATTCAAATGAGAAAAAAAAAAGAATTTTTCAAATACTATTGGTATTTAATATTGTTAATATTTTTCTCTTTTTTTGTTGATAATCTCATGGATAGACATTGCAAAATTTAACAAAGTATTTCATACTCCTCTGCTGCCGACCGTTATTTCAGTGTATTTTAAATTAACATTTTCCCTCTTTCTTCCATCATAGTTTATTTACATGTTTCCATCTTTACATTGCCAAAATCTGTATAATACCAACATTTCTCTCTGTCAGGCTATATAAAGAGATATCTGTATAATACCAACATTTCTCTCGGTCAGGCTATATAAAGAGATATCTGTATAATACCAACATTTCTCTCGGTCAGGCTATATATAGAGATATCTGTATAATACCAACATTTCTCTCTGTCAGGCTATATATATATAGTAATCTGTGTAATACCAACATTTCTCTTGGTCAGGCTATATAAAGAGATATCTGTATAATACCAACATTTCTCTCGGTCAGGCTATATATAGAGATATCTGTATAATACCAACATTTCTCTCTGTCAGGCTATATATAGAGATATCAGTAATCTGTATAATACCAACATTTCTCTTGGTCAGGCTATATATAGAGATATCTGTATAATACCAACATTTCTCTTGGTCAGGCTATATAAAGAGATATCTGTATAATACCAACATTTCTCTTGGTCAGACTATATAAAGAGATATCTGTATAATACCAACATTTCTCTTGGTCAGGCTATATAAAGAGATATCTGTATAATACCAACATTTCTCTCGGTCAGGCTATATATAGAGATATCAGTAATCTGTATAATACCAACATTTCTCTTGGTCAGGCTATATAAAGAGATATCTGTATAATACCAACATTTCTCTTGGTCAGGCTATATAAAGAGATATCTGTATAATACCAACATTTCTCTCAGTCAGGCTATATAAAGAGATATCTGTATAATACCAACATTTCTCTTGGTCAGGCTATATAAAGAGATATCAGTAAACTGTCCTCTGTTACAGTTAATCATTGGAAACTTTGGATTGAGCTATGAACAGCAACGTGTACAGATGGCCATGTGGTCTATCTTAGCTGCACCTCTCCTTATGTCGAATGATCTGCGTCTGATTAGAAAAGAGTCGCGAGAATTACTGCAGAATAAGGGTGCTATATCCATCAACCAAGACCCGCTGGGAATTCAGGGAAAACTTATTGCGACTGTGAGTATCATCTTATTCTCTCTGTAATCACTCAGGAGTCTTCATGTAAATCTCTCATTGGTTCATTCATTGAAAAATATCAGATTTAAACATTTAAATGATAATTATGGAAAGAAGAGGAGGGGATGAATCATTATTATCAGTGCTGTAGCTAATAGAGGTGTCCTGAACAGGAAATCCTCTGTACGTTGTCAGTCTTAATGACTTGATAAATGTTGGAATCATTTTAGAAAGAACTAAACCATGAATTTGTCCCTATCATATCCGCATGTTATCATCATATCGGTTATACATGTTCTGTTAACTGGATATTTCTATCAAAAGAATCATGTAGTTTTTGTTTTGTCTGAGAAGAGCTACATTTAAATCAACAGTAAAGCTAAGGCCAAGTAAAAGTATTGTGTTTTGTGGAAAACGCATGTATGATTATGGAGATAAAGTCAGTTATGTCCCCTAATGTCCCATTATATAATTCTGGATTTTTCTTTTTCGAATTAGAGTGTACATAACTCAGCTGTTATAGAATTATCAGTTTATCATTTTGGACTTCAAAAAAATACAGAGACACATAAAACACTTGTGTGTACCTATGGAATATGGTTCAGCAACTTGTGTGTTATGAAAAATTCCTGTTCTTCAAATCATTTTAAAAAAGATTTCAATGATTGTTAAGTTTTAGGTTCAGAAATTATTTATATAATTGGAATTGGCTTCATGCATAAATTACATTAGCAAAGGCAAATAGCATTTGATGGCATGCACCATTCCCTGTCAATTAGAGTTACCACGCTTGATGATTTTTACTCTAGACAGGCCAAGATACAGTGTATTGGTATTATTTTTATATTACCTGTCACTTAAACCTTCCAAATATGGTGTTTGTGAATTATCTGTAGAGTTGTTTGATCTATGATAATTATGTAACTTTACAGATGGGTAAAATTCAGATTTGGAATAAACCAATAACTCCAGTAGGAAATTTTGCCTTTGCAATCTTGAATCTTGGAGATGGAGGGCCAGGATCACTGGTGAGTTGTTTTATCTTTATTATCCTCAGTAAATATACTGTAGTTATCCTGCAATAAGCCCAGGGATCCAAAACATTACTCTTAGTGAGGGATGGGCTTGTCACGGACCACAGGGAGTTACCACATTTCTTGACTCATAGTTATGATTAGCTGGTCAATGGGCTTATTAAGTATCCCAGGGAGCTAGCTCATTCTTCTGACACATATTAAGGGATGGACTTATTATATACCACAGGGACTTCATTTCCTGACTCATAGTGATGAGTGGGCTTATCAAAGGACCCCAGGGGGCTAACACATTCCCCTGACTTCTAGTGAGTGATGAGCTTATCACAGGACCCCAGGGGGCTAACACATTCCCCTGACTTCTACTGACAGATTTGATTATCAAAAGACCCCCCCCCAACATCCCCCACCCCCTTACACAAAATATCCCCACTCCTTACATAAAGACCCCCCCCCCTCCTTACACAAAGGACACCCACCTTACACAAAGGACACCCTCAACGCCTTACAGAAAAGACACCCCGTACACAAAAGACCCTCCCTTACACAAAAGACACCTCCACCCCACCCCACACCCTTACACAAAAGACACCCCCGCCCAACCCCACCCCACCCCACCCCACCCCCTTACACAAAAGACACCCTCACCGCCTTACAGAAAAGACACCCCCATACACAAAAGACCCTCCCTTACACAAAAGACACCCCCACCCCACCCACCCCCTTACACAAAAGACTACCCACCCCACTCCCCTTACACTTACACACTCACCTTCCACCTGTAAATTGTCTCTCTACATAAGTATGATCATAGAATCCTTTTGTCTTAATGCAATACAACAGTATAAAATTAATTCATTGTAGATCTCTGTGAAGGGTGCCACACTGGGACTGATGGCTAGCCAAGGATACAATATCACAGATGCCTTCACTGGGGAATTTGTTACTGTGATCAAACCAAGCTCATATTTCAACCTTACGGTGGTACCATCTGGTGTTTTCTTGGGAAAAGCTTACCTGAACACCATGTCATAAGATAGTGGATGTTAAAATGATTTTACCTGGGTGATAACAAAATTTCTGAAAAACAAAAAACTCTGTTTTAGTAATTTCTGTTGGATTCTAAATATTTTGGATTTTATTTTTGATGATATTTTTACAGGGACATTTGAAAGCAGAAAAATAATTTGAAAATTGAATCTCCAATTTCAATCATTTGCTGCATTTAGATAAAGCTTAGATCTATATACACAAACAGAAAATCTCCACTTCAACCTTTTCTCACATTTAAGGAAATTGTTAACACAAGAACAATTGCATGCAGTTGAAGTATCATGACCCTACTACATATAAATGATCTGCTTTCAAGGCCCAGCTATCAGTTTTACCTAAAAATCTAAATTTACAGCCTATTAACAATATGAAATTTCCTTTGATCTTACAAACACCTTGTAGTATTTTTTGGCCATCTGACATGTATTTTTTGTGCTTTTATTTTATGATGTACTTTTCACAGAAGTAATTAGAATGATATATCATGCTTAAAGCCATATATTCTTAACCATTTCTTTCAGCTAGTGCAAATGTATGGGTTGGTTGCATTTTTGGGACATACATTTCTGCTGACTTTCACATTTTATGTAAAGAGAGAGATTGTAAGATGAAGGATTGTCTTTTTTTCACAGAGAGTGAGATTTTGATGGTAGTTTGCCATAATATTGTCTTTCAATTTAATTTTCCTTCCATGTGGAAGATTTTCCAGTAAATACTTAACTTACCCTTTGTGTTGTTGCAAGCTCACACAGGTGGAAAAGAATAGTGTATTTTGATACTCCTTCCTTTGTGTTATAATCAGAGATAGATATACAATGTATATACAAATTATATGTATTTACTGTAAAATCTTAAAATTTTGTGAGAATTTATTTTTGTCGATATCCTGGGTTCTCTTTATCTAAATATTCATACATCCATGGCCTGATGAACTTAGAATTGGGCTTTATTTATGCATAAAAATACAGAAGAAAAACAAATTTCCTTTTTCAAAAGCCAAGAAAATTCCCCTCCTAGATATATCATCATACAATGTTTAAATATATTATCAAAAAATAATTTTGTGAACAATTTGAAGTCAACCAGGTACCACTATCTATGTAAGTATGTGTAGTTTGTTAAGATGGAATATAGCAAACACCCTCTTTGGTCATTTTTAGGGAAGGTATGTGATTGATTTAGCCTGAGTATGTGTGAAATATTTTGGCCTTTGTGTAAAGTTCTCACAAGTTTCACTGTGTGGAAACTTTGCTTTACTTGGTGTACCAAATACAAAACAAGACAATATCATTTGTATCATCTGTCAGGAATAAAATCTAATACAAGGCATTTCTTGTTGCTCAGTTAAATTTGATATTTTTGATATGTAACGTACTAAAGTAACAAGCTATATACACAGCATTAATTAAATGTGAGTACCACAACGTCAGCTACAGACAACAGTTAAAGGGTACCAATGTAAATGGGATTGGCCCGTTAGGGAGAACATATAAGCCCTATCTCACCCATTAGGAAGTTTTCACTCATGTTGAATAGACTCTGTACATGCCTTAAAATGATATACCTGGATACTTTTATTGTCATCTGGTTTTGACTTCAGTAGGTAAACAAATTCAAGATTCATACAACCATTCCATAATGTATCTTTGTTTGTTATTGATTCAATTCTTACAATATCTGGAGCCTAGAATTGGTTTTTTTTTTCTACATGAATGTAAATATAAATTTCTTCAAAATTTTTCATTGAACATTGGAGATTTATTTTGAAACTTAACAGTACAAAGGACAATGTAATTTTGTACACATTTCAGGGCAGTGATTTTTTGTTTTGCTTTTGTTTTTTTTCATTCATGCAATCATATATTTTTTTCTAATCCTTTTGAAAATGTATGATAGAAATCTAGTTTTGAGTTTATATTTCTCTTATTAAACTTTTTGATATGTATACTTTTGTATAGTCTATCTATGATTTCAAGGTGGTGCCATATATATATAACATTTACGTAGTAAATAATAAATAACAAATTATTTTAATGATAAAATTGATATATTACATAGATACAAATAAAGTTGAATGTCCTTAAATAGATTGGAGGTCCATGTATTGGACTTAATGGAGAAACTTAAGCCCATTTCACCTTTGCTCAAATAAAGTGAAAATAAGAAGTGTTTGATGTTTCAAGTGAAATATGTTCATTTATTATATCAGAGCGAATTTAACACTTGGCAAAATAAAAAAACTTTTATCCTAGAGTGAAAATAAACCTTGTATACACTAGTATTGCTAACTTGATCTCACTCCTGTTATTAGATCCTCACCTTGGACTGGTGAAATTTTCAGGTGTATATATCTTTTTACATCTGTAGTCTTATACTTTGAGTAAAACAAGTATATGAAGATATCATTTGTAGCAGTTATGGTTTTGTATGTGAAATTATGTTCATGTTTTGTTGTGGCCCCAGTTTCATGAATCTTCCTTAAATTAAGGAAATCTTAACTCAAATAGAAAAGGACCATGATGTAAGTTAAGGAAAAACTTTTCTTAACTTATGTAATGCTGCAATATTTTAGGTTAAAAAGCTAAGTGAGATTTATGAGTCTGCTGGAATAAATGTATCTTTATTTTCTAATGCTATGTGTTAGTGTAATATTCCATAGAAGAGGATGATGCATGAGAGTAGGGTCAGCTATTGTTGTGTGTGGAACAGGTCAGAGAGCTAGTGTTATGGTATATGTATCTGTCATGGACATAGCATGCTGCTCTACATTGTATTTTCTCGATCTTGGTGAAGGCAGGGATATTTTTAAGGCTAAGGGACTTAATATCAGGTATATTTCTATGGACCAAAGAATGAGAAATATGTCTAAGTATGGACATACTGTATAATTTTGGTATTTATTATGACATTTTAACACAGAAAAAATATGACTTATTGTGGAAACAGTCTGATAAAGGTAATGCTAGTTTGTTATTTTGAAACAGTTTGTAAATATGAATAAACAAAGGAGAAAGGTAAATGATGATAACATGTTATATCTTCACATGCTTTACATAACTATTAATTTAACTGTATTTTTATCTATACAAGTTTTCATGTGTTATAATATAAATGTAGATTCTAGCTTTTTATGTAGCAAGAAGGAGGGCCAGTGTGGCTCTCAGTGGGTGATATACAAGAGAGGTAATGTATATTAAAGATTTTTTTTCCTTTTTCTATCTTCACATTAAAGTGACATGGAAATTGATTGTAATCTAAGTCTACAAAGATAAAACATGTCTATATCTGGTTTCTAAAGAGTTATCTTTCTTTTCTTATCCTGCACATTAACACACCCTGTAGCAGTCTTCAGAATTCTTTACTTAGAAAACATGTTTGTTAAAACCATCCATCAGCCTAAAATTTTTTAGAGCTTACAGAAGGTAAAGAAACCCATCAGTATTAAATAGTGACACCAGGTCATCAAATAGTATATATACATTCTTAGGAATGGTGGATCTACTTCATCAGATTATGGAAAGGGTTGCACAGTAGTATTAGTGTTCTATATCATACATCAAAACACACCAAACAATGGTGTTTGTATTATATCAAACAGGTCCTGAAGGTCAACTTAACCAATCTTTGATGAAACAGAACAAATCAATAGGCGTAATAGTTCATAACTAAGATAATGTCATTGGGCCCCACGCTGTACTCATGATTATTGATTCATCAATAAACAAAACATATAAGGTGATAGGGACGTAATAATAGTGCATAACAAACTTCATACAGGTCCACATGTAGTCTTCATGGTCCATAACAAACTTTATACAGGGCCACGTGGTAGTCTTAATAGTTCATAACAAACTTTTTACAGGGCCACACGGTAGTCCTAATGGTCCATCACAAACTACATACAGGGCCACACGGTAGTCCTAATGGTCCATCACAAACTACATACAGGGCCACATGTAGTCTTAATGGTTCATAGCAAACTTTTTACAGGGCCACACGGTAGTCCTAATGGTCCATCACAAACTACATACAGGGCCACATGTAGTCTTAATGGTTCATAGCAAACTTTTTACAGGTCCACACGGTAGTCCTAATGGTCCATCACAAACTACATACAGGGCCACATGTAGTCTTAATGGTTCATAGCAAACTTTTTACAGGTCCACACGGTAGTCTTAATGGTCCATAACAAACTTCATACAGGTCCACATGTAGTCCTAATAGTTCATAATAAACTTCATACCGGGCCACATGGTAGTCTTAATGGTCCATAACAAACTTCATACAGGGCCACATGGTAGTCCTAATGGTCCATCACAAACTACAAACAGGGCCACACGGTAGTCCTAATGGTCCATCACAAACTACATACAGGGCCACACGGTAGTCCTAATGGTCCATCACAAACTACATACAGGGCCACATGTAGTCTTAATGGTTCATAGCAAACTTTTTACAGGTCCACACGGTAGTCCTAATAGTCCATCACAAACTACATACAGGGCCACATGTAGTCTTAATGGTCCATAACAAACTTCATACAGGGCCACATGTAGGCTTAATGGTCCATAACAAAGTTCATACAGGTCCACATGGTAGTCTTAATGGTCCATAACAAACTTCATACAGGTCCACATGTAGTCCTAATGGTCCATCACAAACTACAAACAGGGCCACACGGTAGTCCTAATGGTCCATCACAAACTACAAACAGGGCCACACGGTAGTCCTAATGGTCCATCACAAACTACATACAGGGCCACACGGTAGTCCTAATGGTCCATCACAAACTACATACAGGGCCACATGTAGTCTTAATGGTTCATAACAAACTTCATACAGGGCCACATGTAGTCTTAATGGCACATAACAAACTTCATATGGGGCCACACGGTAGTCCTAATGGTTCATAACAAACTTCATATGGGGCCACACGGTAGTCTTAATGGCACATCACAAACTACATACAGGGCCACATGTAGTCTTAATGGTCCATCACAAACTACATACAGGGCCACATGTAGTCTTAATGGCACATAGCAAACTTCATACCGGGTTGCATGGTAGTCTTAATGGTTCAAAACAAACATCATACAGGTCCACATGGTAGTCTTAGTGGTCTATAACAAACTTCATACAGGGCCACATGTAGTCTTAATGGCCCATAACAAACTTCATACAGGGCTACATGGTTGTCTTAATGGTCTGTAACAAACTTCATACAGGGTCACATGGTTGTCTTACTGGTCCATAACAATCTTTTTTAGGGCCACATGGTAGTCCTAATGGTCTATAACAAACTTCATACTGGGCCACATGGTAGTCTTACTGGTCCATAACAATCTTTATATATGGTCACATGGTAGTCCTAATGGTCTATAGCAAACTTCATACAGGGCCACATGGTAGTCCTAATGGTCCATAACAAACTTCATACAGGGTCACATGTTAGTCTTAATGGTTCATAACAAACTTCATATGGGGCCACACGGTAGTCTTAATGGCACATCACAAACTACATACAGGGCTACACGGTAGTCCTAATGGTCCATCACAAACTACATACAGGGCCACATGTAGTCTTAATGGTTCATAACAAACTTCATACAGGTCCACATGTAGTCTTAATGGCACATAACAAACTTCATATGGGGCCACACGGTAGTCCTAATGGTCCATCACAAACTACATACAGGGCCACACGGTAGTCCTAATGGTCCATCACAAACTACATACAGGGCCACATGTAGTCTTAATGGTTCATAGCAAACTTTTTACAGGGCCACACGGTAGTCCTAATGGTCCATCACAAACTACATACAGGGCCACATGTAGTCTTAATGGTTCATAGCAAACTTTTTACAGGGCCACACGGTAGTCCTAATGGTCCATCACAAACTACATACAGGGCCACATGTAGTCTTAATGGTCCATAACAAACTTCATACAGGTCCACATGGTAGTCCTAATGGTCTATAACAAACTTCATACAGGGCCACATGTAGTCTTAATGGTCCATAACAAACTTCATACAGGTCCACATGTAGTCCTAATAGTTCATAACAAACTTCATACCGGGCCACATGATAGTCTTAATGGTCCATAATAAACTTCATACAGGGCCACATGGTAGTCCTAATGGTCCATCACAAACTACAAACAGGGCCACACGGTAGTCCTAATGGTCCATCACAAACTACATACAGGGCCATACGGTAGTCCTAATGGTCCATCACAAACTACATACCGGGCCACATGTAGTCTTAATGGTTCATAACAAACTTCATACAGGTCCACATGGTAGTCCTAATGGTCTATAACAAACTTCATACAGGGGCAAACTGTAGTCCTTATTGTCACATCACAAACTACATACAGGGCCACATGTAGTCATTAATGGTCCATAACAAACTCATACAGGGCCACATGTACTTAATGGTCATAGCAAATAACAAACTTCATACAGGGCCACATGTAGTCTTAATGGTTCCAAACATATGGGGCCACATGGTAGTCTTAATGGTAGTCTTAATGGCACATAACAAACTTCATATGGGGCCACACGGTAGTCCTAATGGTTCATAACAAACTTCATATGGGGCCACAGGTAGTCTTAATGGCACATCACAAACTACATACAGGGCCACATGTAGTATTAATGGTTCATAGCAAACTTTTTTCTGGGCCACTCGGTAGTCCTATTGGTCCATCACAAACTACATACAGGGCCACATGTAGTCTTAATGGTCCATAACAAACTTCATACAGGTCCACATGGTCATAACAAACTTCATACAGGTAGTCCT